GTAATTCAAAACATATTGTAAAACCGAACTTTGCTCAGAATCGTATTTTATTATTAATGGTTTATCGTTTCCTACAATATAAATTTAATAACATTGTGTAGTCTGATCTCTTAAATTCCCGTCTAAAAAAGTAGTAGAATACATTTTTTTTTAATGTCCTGCAAACAACTTTTATCTCTATTCTCGCATTAATAAAAAACTTAATAGAAACATAACTAGTTTATCGTTGGATACAGGCGTAAAATAAATTACTCTATATTATGTTTTACCTTCTAACTTAACTTTTGAAACAGTAACACGCCCATCAGTAGTATCAAACATTTTTTTGCTTTTTACACCTACCAGAAATGTATTATATTTATCACATTTCGAATAAGACTATCAGCTATACAGGTATACAGTATACACAGTAGTTAGTTGTTGTTTATATGAAACGGTAATCGACTGGAAATTTCCCAGAGTATATCATTACACTGTTGTATAGAGGACACTACGAGATGCCTACCAAACACTCACGCGTGTCGCGTATAGTTTAGTTTAATATGTTAAACAGTATAAAACTGTTAATCGAAACAGACATATTATGTAAATTTAGAGTATTATTATTTTATTAAATATATTACGTTGTCTACTACTGGCAGCGATATCATATAATGTTATATAGCATCAGTGTTATTTTTATTATTATTTCTTTTAATTTACAGTAATTGTTTTCTATGTAGACGAAATTAAGTGTCTCGGGGCGGTGCAGGGTGTTTCACGCCCACGGGTTTTACGAGAATAAACGGTTTTATTATTTTTTTTGGACACCCGTTTTACGGTTAATTCACTGTTCGCTGTTGGCGCGTTGGTTTCTTCAATAGGAAAACAAAACAAAACAAAAACAAAAAAAAAAAAAACTACGGCGCAGATGAACTGATGACTAATATAATATACTACACGCGAGTACGCGGAAAAAAAAAACCCAACAAAACCGAAAACGTAAAGAATTTTTCGGTAGGTAGGTACCTGCTAGCAGCTAGCTACTATATAAATATACGTACTCACACGCATATACCCACCTATAATAATTTGATCGTATACATTATATTAAACCTCGTATATACGTTATGCGCGGGGTTATATTATTTTCAAAAGGTTTTTTTTCTTCGTTTTTTTATCGTGCGACGGCGTAAAAAACCCCGCGCGCCGCAATATTATTTTACATTAACCCGCGCGCGGCCCGTACGCGGAATTCGTTTATCGTACACGGTAACGGGGCCCGAGACGCGGCGCATTCGTTTATAATAATATTGAAAAAAAAACGAAAGAAAAAAAAAAAAAGAAAGAAATAAATAAAAGAACGATACCCCGAGTTCTACGCTGCACCCCGAGCATCGATTAATTTTGAAAATTATTATTATTTTACGTACGCGCGAACGACAACCCGTTTCACTCGACACCCGGCGCAACGGTGGCGGCGACGCGTCCACCGGGTCAAGAGACACAAAAGGCGCCGAAAAACTTGTGGTGGCCCCACATCATTACGCCGCCGCCGCCGCCGCCTTCGGTTTTCTGATCTCGCCGGCATTGTGTGTTGGCGTGAAAATAAAAAAAAAGGCCGCGCAACAGGTCGAATCATTAACCGCGAGCGCAGACTTAATCGTTTTATATGCGTACACTTATGTATATATAAATATAATGATAACAATAATAATAATAACAATAACAATAGGTATCGATCGGCGTGAGCGTCGCGAGCGGCGGGGCAGATATTCTGAAAATGTACAAGAGGAGGGTGCTGTTAATAACAATGTACACGTGTTATAAGTGGTCGAATATAGGTGTACGGCCAAACAGAGACGATTTTAAATGCGTTTATTATTTTATTTCGTCGATTTTCGAGTTTAGGTTATCGCGTCGCAGACGATCGTTCCGAAAATGTTAAATGCTGTAAAAATATTTCCGAGGCTTGGTATCAACAAGGGCCGATCTCGCTTTTGGGATAAATTTCGGGAAGTCAAGAATAAAACACATTTTTGGGCCCGTTCGCGGATATTGCAATAGTAATTTTTTTAACAACATCGGTCTTCTCAAATTTCACAGTAATTATAATGATTATTTAGATACGCCCTTTCGCCACTAGAAAAAGCCCACGTACCATTTTTGTATGATTGACCGTATAACTCATTTTCACAAAAAAGTGATATTGGCCTTTATTGACCCAAGCCCCAGATTTGTTACACACATTTTTCGGACACCTATCAATATACTATACATGTATTTCGAACGCGATCAATTATAAGATTAAAAAAAAAAAAAAACAAAGGTGCCGTTTACAATCGACTGCATGCATATTTTATTGTAATGATAAAATCGTCGATGAGGTGGCGTCTCAATATCCGACTCGGCACCAATACTGATGGGTGAAAAGTAATTAAGTAGGTACACTTAGTACTTTACAAAGCATAGGTATATTGTGCGTAATTTATCGACATCCGTCCGAATCGAATGCGTGGTGCGTATTCGGTTGCATCTAAAACCGCACATTAGATACGATTTTAGAATTACGTTTTTTTCAAATAAATATAACACGTTTTTGTCAATTAATCAATTAACAACCGTACATCCATAAGGCCAAGCGTGTTTATAGTTCTTATGATCCTAAATTCAACTACTTATGTAGCAAATTATTCGGCCAATTGATAGGAATTTAGGAACACCTTTTTTTGTTAATACTTTTGAATATGTCGGTTAATACTTGTAACCACAATTATTATCTTATCAGCTATTAACATAAATCATTAAGTTCATTATTTATATTTAAGTAAGTGCTGATTTTAGATTCTGAATGGCACGAAGAAGGTTATGGTTTTACAAAGATGTTTTAGATTCTGAGTGGAGTGAAGAAGCTTATGGTTTTTCAAAGATGTTTATTTTTTTTTTCTACCGGAAATCTTGCTCCAATTTACAATGATATCATTTTTTTAAAAAAAAATCTGACTGAGAAAGTACTTTAAAGAGGTCATTTTTTGATTTTCCCAGAATCTTTATCAACAAACAGAAAACGGGAAGGTTTACGAAATGTAGGCATTAGTTAAAAAATATTTCCAGCCTTTTTTTTTTTCCTCAGGAGTTCTCTCAATATATCGGATAAAACAGAAAAAATAGGAGAATGGGAAATTACGTACAATATTAAACAAATATTATTAAAGAAAATGTTTAATGCATATGTAATCATTTTACCATAATATGACATACATATTGTTCACAAAGCATCACTAACAACTAAACTATGCTCAGAATTGTTTTTTCGTTAGCACTGGTTTATCGTTGCTTACATATGTGCATTGAATTCCCGTCTGCATTCTAACTTCCCAACTTCCCACCGACAACAGTGGCTGCACCCACGTGCGAAGTATATCCATCTTTTTTAAAATGGAGTCAGTATGTCATTTACATCTAAAGTATGTTTACACACACAATCTCTGTGAATAAATAGAATTTCCATTTTGTAAATATTCGCACACTTTAATGCGTCTAACTTCTGAAAGATTAAAATACACAAAACAACGCACGATGAACTAGAATAATAAACCAATGGAGAGTTAAATTAATTAACTTTGTCAAACGTTCATATCAGTGGCTTTCGGCGCGAACAAATCCACCCGGTTAGGTATATTTAACCGGCCAAAAAAATAGCGGATCGCTGATAAGGGAATCCGATTGACGGCCGGCTCCACTCCAGCGGGATCGGCTGCACTCTGCGGTAATTCGGAACATCAAAATCCGGCGACTGACCGCATTCCGATGAACACGAGAGCACACGGAATATAATTGCATGGTGTAGGACAGCCGATTGGATTGGATTATCGGTTTAATTATTTAGCGGTCATTATTGTATAATAGAATAATTACTATAGTGGCGGCGGCTCGCGGCGGCATAGCAAAGTGCCGATAATACTGTCGGCGCGGCGACGGCGTCCGCGTACACGGCAGTCTCCCCGAGCCACCGGGTCTGTCCGCCTGGCCCGGACGGACGCGGCGCGCAACTCGTCGTCGGCGGCGGCGGCGGCGGCGGCGGCTACACACGTATTTGACCACACGCAGGGCGCGACCAATCCGATAATGGTCGTACAAAGATGGCATCCTTGAATCAATTATACACCTCTTCCTTCCGCCTCGGGGTTCCCCGTCCGGCCCGTCCGCGCTAATGGTACGTTAATAACACAATAATAGTGTACGTATAGTGATAATAAAAATAATAATAATAATAACACCAACACCAACACCAACAACTACAACAACAACAACAACAACAATAATCTACCGTTACGAATCGTACGGACGTTTACTCGTCTATATTATTCCATTATACGACGCGTATACATCATCGCGTATTATCATCATCGTCATCATCATTATTGTTATTATACATCGCCGAATGGTATAATAATAATAATATTATTATAATATCGCCAGTGAGTTGTTACCGCGACCGCCGCCGCCTCGTTGTGGCGTGCCGGCGCAACTCGTTTGCGCGCATTAACATTTGTTTCGTTTTTGTTTTTTTCCCCGTGACCGAACGCGACTGTCATTATAATATACTCGTTTGCGTGAGGACGAAACATGTCAGGTACCTCTATTCCTGCGAATTTCACACGTGGCGCGCGTAAAACGTCTTCAAACTTTACCGAGTGAACATTACGTCCGCGCGTATCATCATGTCCGTCTTCCGAACGAGTAAATTAACGTTCGGCAGGGACAAATTTGTGCCGTTTTACGTCGAATCAAACTACTGACGGTCTTAACGATACATGAACATTAATCCGCTGTGCGACGTTAACGGTACGTTTCGCGTGCCTTGATACGCGTATCTCTCTCTAAAAAAAAATAAAATCGAAAAAATAGCGCCGACCTAAAATAAAATATGGTAACGAAAAATTTCGTATTGTACTGTTCGCGATTTTTTCGGAAATTAATCAATTTACCTGACCTGACCTATTGGGGAATGGGGAGAAATGGTTTGTACCGTTACAAGTCGTAAGGCCTGCTCATTACGTACGAGACGCATCCGTGTGACTTCGTGGGTGCGCTCCAGAGGTCTTCTCGGTCACGTTTTGTTTATACAGTAGTATCCCGCGGGGAGACGCGCAGCGGCAGCGCACGGCTGTGGCGCTTGCGCGCGGACACGCGGGAGCGCGTGCGACCCCCGGTGCCAGCGAGGTTCGGTGTGGCGCGACCGTCTCCCACCGCGGATGAGTCCGGATTCGATTCGTTCGCGTCCACCGGATTCGAAGGGCTGTGCGAGGGTGGGGAGTGGTGTTGTTTTGACGGGAGTCATCTCCCATTCCGTGTTCTTTCCAAGGGACCGAACATGTACGTCGATTTGGCGCCGGCAAAGTCGTGGAAAATTCACACGTTTTACCCGGAATTTTCAGGAATCGCCAAGACTCCAATATCAATTTACAGTAATTTTGACGCGGAAAAAATGGTTAATGAACGAAGATGCGTCGGCGCCGGCATCAAGTCATCACCGGCACATTTGCTTGCGAAATTTCCCAAGACTTTTTCTATACATTTCCCTTTAAGTTTAATACACTAACAATAATATTTCAGTATTTATTTAAAATAAGCTTCTAATGATGATATAAATGGTAGATTCCTAATTTTATTGAGATGTGTTTTTTTTTTTTTTTTTGTTTTCGGAAAACAATTGTTTGGTTAGTAAAAATGCTCTAAACTATATTCGAATCGTACCTTAAAAAATACATGGATTATTTACCCAGCGGTTTGCGTAATACACGTTCTTATAAAGTTAAAATGATACTGATATCACATGTGGATATGTCGTCAGTGTCATTGATTTCCGCAAAGTTACCTGGGGGAAAATACTACTAAATATTACATCAATAACTAGGAATCAGAACTTTTTAAAAATTCCATCTACTATTATTGCAGTACTCAGGTGATCTACCCGTGGCACGAATAAGTAGGTATACGCGTCCGGCTTTTTATAATGTTTCTGTACGATTTCGATACAAAAAAAAAATTAAACGGTTCAAAAATTGTTTCACAAAAGATGATAATAACGCGGATAAGTATAGCTGGTATACATGTATATTATAATTTCTGATTTAAGGTTTTTTTTTTTTCCTAAACGTGTAATGTGTAAATAACAAATGATTTATATTATTGTACATATTCGGTTGGAACACCGTCCTCGAATGTTTTTTTTTTCAAATTCAACAATTGTATGCGTATATACACACTTAAAAAATACTCTTATATATAACAAATAATATACATCACCAATGTAACAAATAAAAAAAAAAATTTAAAAAAAAAAATAACAAGCGTCGGTAGGATTATGGTTTTATTTTTTTTTTTTTTTTTTTTTTTTTTTTTTTAACCGATCGGCAAACACAATATCGTCTGCAACCACGCCGTCAGTGTACAGTGAACACGGCTCGGAATCTACGTCCGTTCGATGCTCGAATAAAAAAAAAAAAAAAAAAAAAAAAAAAAAAACAAATTTAAACGAACTAAAGTTACGGGTTTTTTTCATGTTAAGTATACTATGTCGTATAAACATAATAAAATAATAAAAAAGAAAAAAAACCCCGATGGAAATATAAATGTATCAAATCAATTAGATTTTTTTTTTTTTTGATCCGAGCGATTTCGTCACGTACACGCATGAGACGGGCCGTATATTATATTATTATTGTAATAATAGTATTATTGTCCTTCGTATTTCTCGGCCATTGATGTTTATAGGTACAATACGGTACCCAATAAATTAATCTATAATTTTTCAATTCGAATGATATTTTATAATTCAAAAATGACCCGCGCGATAGCGTTCGCCCTGTGTACATGCTCACTTTCAATATTACCCATGACGTTTTTTCATTAAATTACGCGCTCCCGTATAATTATATAGGTATATCAAATGTTATTAATAACCCATATGGACACAAAACCGAAACATGCGATAATTCCGCACTTAAGCAGTACATGCATATATACTTATTATTTATATAATTTTATTAGATTTTTCAAAACAAAATCTTGGCGGTTTACAATATTATAATTTATTATAATAAACGTCGTATAAACGCGAGTTAGCAAATAATATACTCCGACGAAAATAATTCGATTTGCCATTTTTGGCAAACGGACGTTTGGATTTACGTCACGGATGAATATATTCGTAATAACGGATAAATTACATTAATAGAGATAGTAATATTATTATTATATCGGACGACCGCTATATTTTTACCTATACCATACGGTCGGCATAGAGCGCGACCACACCGAATCGCGGGTCGGAAATGCGGTAAATAACTCGAACGGAATATTCGACGAGAGATGCAGTGCTGCTTGTGGATTAGGCGTTCGGTATTATGTGTAATAAAATACGAAATACAGATATAAATATTATAAATAGATATTATAAATTCACCCGTGTATAAACGTCGAAAATAATCGAATAAACTTGCCGCGTCTAAATATACCGCCTTATTACGAATATATTATAGAATTCGGCGATACCGACACAAATTTAACACGTGCAGCAGTGCCTGCCGACCTAAGTTTTTTTTTTTGTGGATACCTATTTTTCAAACGATTTAAAAAAATTCTATGCCGCTTCTTTCGTCCCCTCCACTACGGTCCGCCGGTCGTTACGACGACCTCGGCGCGGAAATCCGGTCGGCACCGTCGTAGACGTTACGTCGTCGTCACCATTCTCAATGCTTGTCGTAAAATTTTTTTTTTTCATTTTTAGATTCTGAACGGAGCGAGGAATGCATTGGTTTTACAATGAAGTTTATATTTTATTAATTTTATTTTTTCTTATGTGAACACTTAACACTTTTTCTACCAGAAAGCTTACTCCGATTATTAAGTATACAGCGCTTTTTCTGAAAGGAAATGTTCTCTGGGTGGTACTTAGACGAATCATTTTTTGAAATTCTCATTGATATTTAAGATAATGGGAAAAACCTGGTTCTTTAAGTTAAAAACGATTGAAAGATTAAAAATAAGGTTCTCATTGGCAACCGTTTTCAAATATTTTCTGTTATTTTTTAGTTTTTATTATTCTAATCTTTTTTAAACAATCATCGTTGTCGTAAAAAAGCTCATTATTGAAAAAACAATACTATAATGTTGCTATTAATATTAGATACAAGTATAATAATTGAAATTTGATATATTATATTAGTATATTCGTTCATATACTAGTGTATAACAACAGTAGTGGCGTACTCAAGGAAGGGGCTTATGATAAGTCAGCTCCCATACAAAAAAAAAAACCATCCAGCATTCAAAAATGATTCATATATAAAATACATAAAAATGTAAAATAGCATTTTTTCGTAACGAGTAATATCCGAAGTTACTAGACCAATTTACGTGTGCAATTTTTCAAAATGGTCCGTGTTGCCCACAAAAGGTTAAAAACTGTTAAAATATTTGATCTGACCAGTAAATTTAGTAAATTTAATCTGCAGTAGCCTAAAAGTCGGAGAAAAAGTAATAACTTATAAGTATTTTTCATTGATAAGATTTCATTGATAATTTTTATAAAATTGATAAGATAATTACAGAAAATAAATTGAAGACAAAAGTTTACCATTTTAATTAATAAAGATTTGTTGACCTCGTTCATCAACAGTACGAAATGAAATATAATATTCGCGATTTGAAAACGAAAACTAACGAATACGAACGAACGAATAGTGTAAACGGTATACGACCGAATATACCGGAATATTCTCGCTTCTCGTTCGTTCGTTCGTGGTCCGGTCATATAGTCTATAAACGCATCTTTATGTAGGTGACCGCAGTTCCTGCCCGTTCTGGCTCCCCTAAACGAAAATACGTATAATATTTATGGCCGAAGAGAACGAGAAAAAAACCGACACCGTAGTAGTATAAGTACGAACACACAATAATATGTTCCGAACGAAACGGACAGACGCGGACGATGAATTTATGGGCGTGTGTTCACGGGGGTTCGCCGCCGCCACCGACTCCTTCCGAATAGTATACACTCGCGCGTTATTTGTATCTGTCCGGTGGATCCACGACCGTATTATCATAATACAATTCCGGTGATGTATGGCGCTGATCGGGTCGATTTCGTCGAGTCCTTTAGGTTTTTGTTATTTTTTTTTTTTCATCCCGGTACGATACGACTGTATCCCTGTCTCCACCCCCTCCGGACACTCGCAGTAGTGATATTAATAACATGTCTAAATACAGAATAATATTCCGATGTACACTACACGTTTATTTGCGTGTGGTAGTGGCTAGAAACTCTGTAACGGGGCTAAAATCCATACTTCGTATCGTTCATTAGATCACAACAATTTGGTTCTATAGCGAAATAAGGTTGAACGGGATTCATGTAGTGCTTGAGATTATCGATAAAAACGTTTTAGAACGTTCTCTCTATAATATAAATTACTATATACAAGCACTTTAAAAACTAAATTTTCTGAAAAAGAACAGCGCTTCCTGTAGTTTAAAAAAGTCGAAGGCATAGAATATAGGCAGGGTATTTCAGTTTATAGTAATATTAAAAACTAAATAGACTGAATACATAATTCACGGTGTCCATTGTACTGTCTGGGCAATTAAGTTTAAATTCCAAACGCCTAAAGTTATCAAAATTTGGTTAAAATTAAATTTCGTTAAATATTCTAAATTTGAATTATACCAAATTGCTCAACATTTTCAAATTGAAAAATTACGATTGAAAAGGCTATGTAGCTATGAGTGAAACCTGCAATTGTGAACTATAATGAAAATTCATATAATACAAACCTGCATACATTTCCATTTATTGGATTTAATAATATACCAACTTTAATAATATTTTCCAAATGTGCTTGTGTAGTTTTTAAATTAACGTCACCGGGTGTACTAATCGATCTCATTCGCAAGACGTTCTGTTGAATGATCGAACGATTTTTTTTTTTTTTTTAATACAACATCCTTAATCCACGTGATCCATATCGCACTATGTATGGTGAGTTGAGTTATGTAATAAGTTTGTATGTTTAAAAGGGTGTACTAGCAGTCGAAATTAATTATATTGTAAAAAGAGGGTAAAAAAGCTACTCGGACTACAGACCTAATGAGGGAATCAAATTGTCATGATAGATAATGAGAACTTGCATTGTGTAACGTAGGTTTTAGTTCATTGATTCCGTAAAAGTAAAAAGCTATTTTAATTGTTCTAAAATCTAATAATTGCTAAACTAAAAATATTTGTTAAAAAAAAAAAAATTTTATAAAACACATAATAAATATAGTAGGTACAATTATTTGTACTCAGCTGAATAATTAGTCCAAATGGGCAATTTTTTTTTAATTATCCAACTATCGGTGAACAAATCTTAAGAAAACTCAACACACGATTGTCAACATTTGATTAAAGTTGTACATACAAACGAATACATTAAAGAATACAAATAGAAACGATTAGGTTGCCATGACGTCGCATGTTCGTGATCAGCATAAATACCGTATAAATTTCGAGGCAGTTCATAAAAATTCTTGAATATTTATAATATTGATAAAGTTAAT